AAAAGAGTAACAAAGCAAAATGAACAAAAAGGTAGGAATCGTCCAACCAACTGACTGATGACTGCATCTCGCGCGCACAACTGTCACTCATGCAAAAATAGTGTCCAGTGATTTCTTTTCTTTTTCCTTTTTTCTTTTTCCTTTTTTCTTTTTTCTTTTTTCTTTTTTGAATTTTTTTCTTTTTTCTTTTTTCTTTTTCCCCAATCCCCTTATGGGGTGCAGGATCCAGTCATTCCATCACAGAAATGAAACAAAACGATTTTGCGAGGGGCTTCACTTTTGTTCCTTCATCAGGATTCGAACTCGGATCTGTATTTCAACAGTTCATGGGTCTACCCACTGACAAAACCAAATAGTATTTCTGAGTTGCCTGGGGCCAGTCAGCTCAATGATGATATCGCAAGGCTGTAACCCTTAAAAAATAAAAATAAAAATAAGAAAAGGGAAGGGGATTTTTAGAGCCTTTTTTAAAGGGAAAAAAGGGGAGGGGGATTTTTAGAGCCTTTTTGTAAGAAAACAAAGGGGCTTCATTTTTGTAAAAAGAAAAGAACTTCCGAAAAGTCAAAAAAGGTGTAATAGACGAAGAAGCCAGTCGAAGGAAACCTTGTTTGTCATATCCTGATTCTCCACTCGTATGCGCTGACGTGGCAATTTTTTGTCTTCTCCAGAGCAATCTAGCATTATGATTGCATAATACTAGATTGCTCTGGAGAAGACAAAAAATTGCCACGTCAGCGCATACGAGTGGAGAATCAAAGGACGAGGGCCCTACGGTCTCTTTTTCTCAAGGACATTTCAGGAACATCTGTATCCAAAGGAAAGGGGCATTTGCGTAAAAACAAATTTTAAAAAAGTATAAACAAAAAGGGAAGGGGCATTTGTAAAACAGATAGGAGAAGGTATATACGATCCGGTACCTCAAACATGGAAGCAGTTATACTATCGCGTTTTATTATTTTCCTACAGACACGCCCAAGTTATGATACGCCCGCTGCCATTGCTTCACTCATTTCAGCATAAGACCTCCAAAAATGCGCTGCCGTTGGTAAATTTAGAGATGCCCAAGTTTTCAAAAATGTCCCTCTTCCAGAAAGACAGATTTCTAGATTGTCCAGACCCATTCCGAGGCTAGACTCAGTTTTCCAATCTGGTCTTCCAAACTGCATTGGCCTGCTGTCTTGTCAATATGCCACAATGCTTGCTGGAGCACCAAAGTGACTGAACTCACGCTCAAATTCAAAGCCAAGCACGCACCTCTCTCTCTCTCTCTCTCTCTCTCTCTCTCTCTCTCTCTCTCTCTCTCTCTCTCTCTCTCTCTCTCTCTCTCTCT